CGAATTTGCACCAAATTTCTAATTAATTTTTTTTTAAAAAAAAAATAGTTTTTTTAGTAACATTTTTTTAAATTATTTTTTGTTTCAAATAACTTTTATTTAAGCGAGAGTATATATGTAGTGGGCCCTAATTTTTTTTTATTATTATAGATATATATGGTAGGTTTACTTGTTGTATATAGAAATTTAACTCCACTATAGAACCAACCGTTAGTTCCATAGCAATCCCCGATTAAATTATATGCACAGTTGAGGGATTCCTTATCTAAAAGTTGCATGTGCTTAATAATCTTTGCCAATTAGGCATTAGCTCATTCAAGATAGAAGAATCTATCTTTGTTTTTTTCTTACTAAATTATTTTAAAATTTAAAGAATCCTAAACTCTAAACGTGACCAATAATAAATATGTTAAAAATTCAAAGCTGTTGAACCTCCTTTTTAAGATGGAAATTTAAACTGGTAATTTCTTTTTCTTTTTAATTTATTTATTTCAAATTCAACTCAACTATTTTCGATATTATTGATATAATTAAATAATTCCAATCAATCATCATCACACGTTCAACAATTTTAATTCAATATTTACAGACTCGAATAATTTTTACTACGATCATTTTCAATAATCACACTTCTTCTTTTACATCATATCAATTGTAATCGTTATATTTTAAATATTATTTAAATATAAATTAAAAATTTCACTCAATCAACTTACTCAAAATTAATTCATTTTAATCAATAAATCAAATCAAAATCGGTTTTATATGCATCTAATTGTCCCTTAATGCATTACAAATTCTTGTATATGGCAGACTAATTGTTTGTCGAGTCGATCTACCATACTTTGTGAAAAGAAAAAATGTATACTATCAAATTATTTCAATTCATGTAGTTCATCGAAGTATGTCGAACATTCATGAACAAAAAAGTATGTCTACTTAATGGTCAGACACATCCAACAAAAAACCTACTAATAGTACACATTTATATTATCAAATGCCAAAAATTTACTTGGGCATGGGTTTCTTCTGGTGGTGGGTGGTGCGGCTCTGATGGCGCGTCGACTCGTGTTGCAGGTAGCTAACAAGGGGGTTCGAGTTTGGAGTCGTCGATGCTCGGCTCCCCCACGTGTTTCCTGTTGTTCCTGGTTGTCAAAGGGCTCCACCAGTTATGTTGGGCGTTGGCTCCGGAGGTTGTGAGACTCTCCTGGCTGCTAGTAAGGGTGGGGTCGTGTTTTGGGGCTGATCAGGGCGCGCTGGCTATAGGGCAGTCCACCCGTTTTGAGACGCGAGTTTGAAGGGGTTGGGTTTTGTTATGCTTTTACTGCAATTTTAGGCTCGTCTCTCTGGACTGGGTTTCAGTCCGTGGGATGGCGGCTCTTGGCAGTTGGTTGCTTGACGGCTTGCAGTGTTGCTTGTCGGCGATAGAGGAGAGCTTCATCTTAGTTATTTTGTTTAGGTTTGTTTTGTGTTGGTTAGTGTGTGTTTTTGGTTGTTTGTGTTCTGTGGGTTGTTGTTTTGGGTTTTTCCTTTTTAGGAGTGTGTTTTACTCTCTTTTGGGAATGTGTATTCTCTACTTACGGGATTTTTGTTTTTCTCCATTTGTCGGAGCTTTTTACTCTTTTCTGTTTGGTTTTGGTAATATGTGTTGTGAATCTAGTTGTCTTGTGTATTCCTCCTTTTCTAGTTAGTTAGTCGATTGTAATTATGTGTTTTAATTAAGTGAAAATAACTATTTTCACTCCGTTTTGAAGTCTTGTTAAGTTTTAACACCGTCCAATAAAAAGCTAAGTTTTTCACCCCAGAAAGTGCGAAAGACATTGTGCGATAAATATGCGACAATTGCGTGATGACATTGTGCGAAAGTTAAAAGTGCGAAGACATTCGCATATCCCTTCGCATTTTCTGGGGTGAAAAAAAGTTAAAGTGCGAAGGCATTGTGCGATGAATATGCGACAGTTACGCAATTGTTATGCGACAGTTTTTCGCATAACCTTCGCATATGCGACAGTTATTATATGAATATGCGACAGTTTTCACATAACCTTCGCACTTTCTGAGGTAAAAAACTTATTTTTTTATTGTGCGGTGTGAAAAACTTAATGTGTCTGAGGTGAAAAAGATTTTTTCCTTTAATTAATGAATGAAGAAAAATATATATATATATATATATATATTATTAAATGCAAATATTTATTTGTTTATTAAGGTATGCAATTTTAATGTGAAAAAAAAAAAAAAAATTGTCCGTGAAAAATAACAGCTAGCCATACATATCTTTTTTAGCATCAAAACCTAAACCTAATGTTGATGTCAAAAATCTCATCACGATTCTTAATTATGAACACTATTACTCAATACTAATTATGATGATGTGGCTAATCAATTCCCACAAGTTAATGCACCACAACACAACTGTTTAAAATTCATTAGTCTATGCCCAACATTACCAAATAAGGCCACGACACAACCGAAAACAATAATAATGACTTTGAGATTAAAAAATAAAAATAAAAAAATGATTATTTAGTGTGGTGTCGGTTAAAAGTTGGAAAAAATGATATGGTTCAAAGATAACAGTGCCATGCTGGAGCAATAATCTCTACCTATATATAACGTGTACCTATCTATAAAACATTATTAGCTTTGACTAGTTTGTTAGATGCACGAGCTAGTTTTATTAAGTTAATGAATAACGTAAAAACGCATGTATTGGAATAAAACAAAATACAACTTATATATTATTAAACACATCAATGTACACAATATTTTTTGTTTGGTCTTTTGGTACATCGTGTATATATCTACTGCCGCAAATTATATTAGGATTCTAGATAGGTTTAAATAAATCAATTAACTGGGCCCGATTTATATGCAATTCGATTTTTTTTTAATAAACATGATATGTTGCAATTAGGTAAAGATACATGTTATAGTATTTTGCCTAATTCAAAATTGCCGATTTTATGGTAAACAGATTTTTTTTAATAGAAAATGAGAGAATTTTAACTTTTACAAAATTGTCATGTCGAATTTTACCTAAATTAACCCGATTTCTATGCAATTAGGAAAAGATATATGTGATAGTATTTTGCTTAATTCGAAATTTCTGATTTTATGGTAAACAATTTTTTTTTTTTATAAAAAAATGAGAAAGAATTTAGACTTTTATAAAATTGTAAGCATCATTCGAAATTTACCTAATTTAAGTCCACAAAATCCATGAATTTAGGGTGCATATATAGCTGATCAATTTTTTTAGGAATAATTTAAAAAAAAAATTCAAAAAAACTATCAAAAATAAAATGTAGTAAATGCTGCTCAGACTTTTTTTGTTATTAGTTTTGATAAATAAGTTGGCTCTTTATATATGGATATATAGATATAGATTTGTACCTCTTAATCCTTATTATGGTATATGATTAGACAAGAATGCAAGTACTCAAGGGCCTTGTTTGGCATCAGTCGGATAACGGATTGTATTAGCGGATAGCGGATAACGGATTCTATTAGCTGATTTGACCAGCGGATTGCATTAGCGGTTTTTAAATAAGTGTTTGGTAAATAGCTGAAAGCTTATAGCTGTTTAACATTGCAAAATGACCAATAAAGACACTTTATTATTTAGGGTGCATTCTTTTAATAATAATATATTAAAATATTTGATATTCTTTAGTTGGTAATTTATAAATATATTGTTTTTTTAAATTTACTAACACTTGATGAAGAAATTAATGAATTTTATATTTTTCTAGATAAATTAATTATATGAATGACATATTTATTATTTATTAGCACAATAAATCAATTTAGATTGTAAAATAAATAATACTAATTAAAAATTTCCACGTAAATGATTTTTGTGAATCCTCTATCTCAAAAAGCTGCTCTAATAAGCTTTTTCTAAATTAGAGTTTCGAGTCCAAAAAGTTTATCAAATAAGCTATTTATTTACCAAACAGACTCAATAGCGGATTTGATGCGTCAAACCTCTCAATTAAGTTCAATCCGTTAATTTATCTTCAATCCGCTATCTTTCAAACGGGGCCAAGATCTAACAAATATACCAAAGGTGAAATTTATGGTGTTTGACTAAATTTATTCTATTAATTTTATGAGACTTTTTTATACTTGTAACAAATATACAAGGTTTTAGCACAAGCTTGACATAAATTGCAAGAATTTATTATAAAAAAATAAATGGCGATCTAAGGATCACCTTTTTATTTTTATTTTTAATTTATTTTTTACTTTTAAGGCAAAAACGTTTACGGAGAATTTTTTTAGTAACTTTACAAAAGCTATTATTAATAAAGTCTGTATTTCTAAATTGACCTACAATTGTTTATTAATTTATTTTTCACTCCTATAGTTATAATAATTTCCATACGTCATACAAAGAATGCTTCACGTCTTAAATTAACCGCGTTTTATCCACTCAACTAAAAAAAGGAAAAAGAATATAAAATGAAAAAATTCCTCTCTAGACTCTAATTTCTACCGTCCGTGAGAAATAAATTCCAAAAAAATATTAAGGAAATACTACGGTTTCGTTACGGAATCATTTCGTCGAGATTTTGTAACCGTGATCATCATGTAACTGTCGAGAGTAGTCGATCTTACAATTACGAACCCGACAAAATGGTTTTGCAACGGGATCGTAGCATTTCTCAAAATAATATTTTTAATTATTCTCCCAAAAATGATTCTTTCAACAGAATATATATTAAAAAAAATGCGACGCCTTGAAGAAGACTTTCCGCACACTTAGCAGATATATATAATATATTGGGCCTCAGCCTCTGTCAAAACTCGGCGTTGTTCAACAGAATCTTTCTCTCCTTTCTATTATTCTCTCTCTACACTCGTCCGCTCAACAGAATCTTCGCCAAAATCCACACTGATTAACGCCGGCCGGTGTAGTTTTCCGATCAGGGGAAAACGAGGATTAAGGACAAGCTGAAGGAGAGGAGAAAGTCTAAGATCCGCCGGAGGAGAAAATGAGATCGTTGATTCTGCCGGAGCTCAGCTCGGATTTCAGATTCTCGGCGAAATCGTGCGTCCGCCGCACAATCGGAGAGATTTTTCCCCAAGTCTCGAGGAGCCACGGCGTTTCCGAGAAGATTCCGAGGCTCGAGGATTACGCCGTTAGGCTCCGAGATGAGATGAAGAAGATCGACGCATTCAAGCGCGAGCTTCCTCTGTGCATGCTTCTCCTTCGCGATGGTTCGATCCTCTCTCCTTTTACCGTTTTCTTATTCTATTTTTCGCATCGTGTAGTTCGTTTTGATTAGGTTTCGTGTTTTCGGTTTATGCGGATTTGTTTTGGGTAAGATGTATGGTGTTGTTCATCGCGTCATAGATGAAGGTATGGATGTGTTTTGTTGTGATTTGAACTTCAGTTGCTGATATTTTGGCTGCGATTTTCTCCTATGTGCAGCGATTGTAGCGATTGAAGAAGAATTAGCTCTCTGTAAGAAATCAAATGCTGAGCCTGTGTTGGAAGAATTCATACCACTTAAAAAGATCTGTAAAGATGAAGAAGTTGATAGGGTCGAGAGCCGTCCGGATAGTGAAATTAGCTCCAGAGACAAGATGAATTGGATGAGCTCTGTGCAGTTGTGGAACTCCACCAGTCATCCTTCTCCTCCTGATACTGATCTCAACAGTGACAAACTCACCTTAAAGCTCGATGCCAACAAAAAGGTATGGATCGAGACCTTTTTTCTCCGATGTGCTTCTGATGTTTGTTGATTGCGTGTGTGCTGATGGACTTTTCGTGTTTCCTTTCGGTTGTGAACAGAGAACGGAAGAGGAAATGAATCGGCCAGTGATGGATAATTTGTTTCAAAATGGTAAAATTGGGAAAGTGATGATGAAGCCTTTGGTGCCCTTTACGGGGTGTACTAATTTTCCGGTGATGTCTATAGGGAAAGAGGATAGGCAAGTTCCTGCTCTTTCTTTATGCACACCCGAAATGAAAAGCTCAAGTGAAGGATTGAATCATATTGGTTTCAGTCTGAAATCGTGTCCCAGCCGATCAGGATCCTCTCCAGATGCTAATGTCCCATCGAGTTTAAGGAGTGTACAGCAGCATCAATCTGGTAGGAAGCAAAGACGCTGCTGGTCGCCTGATTTACATCGCCAGTTCATCAATGCCCTGCAGCAGCTTGGAGGCGCTCAAGGTTCGAAAAATAAAAACAACAAATCCCTTGAAATTTTCGTTAACTCCTCGTTTGGAATCTAGATTGGGCGAGTTTATGATTAAAGATTAGCAAAGTGCTTGTAGGTTTTGATAACATCAGATGGTTGGGTTTGTTGAAGTGATTGATTGAAACCCATGGATCAGTTCACAAGATAATTCAAGAATGTTGAGAATTGGAATGAACTTGTTTGGAATTTGGATATTAGTTTTTATGTTATGTGCTTTGATGGGTTCCCTTTGTTTTGCCTCTAAATATGATTTTGTTCTGTCCTCGACAGCCGCTACCCCGAAGCAGATTAGAGAGCTTATGCAAGTTGATGGCCTCACCAATGATGAAGTGAAGAGTCATTTGCAAGTGTGTTTTTACTCTTGTATTATATGTATTATATACATGAATTCGATCTCTTGGAAAGTAATACTCATGATTCATTTTGTTCTTTGAATGTTGATTTAATTTCAGAAATACCGTCTTCACAGTCGAAGACTCTTGGCAAACTCCGCTTCTCAATCTGTTGGTCTGTGGGTGCCTGAAGAACATTGCAAGCCTTCACAGTCGGGCTCGCCAGAAGGCCCGCTCCATTTGGAAGGCAATTCCGGAGGAAATGAAGATGAAGACGACGAGAAGTACTGGGGGAGATAATTTATAAGTTGCCCTCCATGAGTTCTTTTTTTTTCTTTTGCAGATACTAAAAAACCTTTGGGGGAGTGTTTGCAAACTATTTAGCCGGAAAACAACATATTTTCAGACTTTTTCCGGCTAAAAACCGAGACACGCTTCGTTTTTTCTGTTAAGAGTTTGCAAACACTAACCTCTGCAATACTAAATACATAAACAGAGATCCTGAGGCAGAGTTGTATTAAAATTTTGCAGGATGAGATTTCCTAGCCGGCAGTTCTATTTTTTTTTTCTTTTTTTTTTTTAATTAAACTGATATATTATTATTATTATTTTATTTATTATTATTTTCCTTTAATACCAAACATCTGAGTTTGATCTGGGGATTTTGGCACTGTATTGCTTTATGAATAATAATAATATGATAACGTGAAACATATGACTAAAAATAGTTTATTCTTGAGTGACAAATTTCAAATACTATTGTTATACGCTTTGTTTTGAATCCATGGATGAAAGTTGACTTGGGATTGAGTTAGCTTCAAGAAATTATGTTAGGAAGAATATTCTTGAGAGTTTTTAGTTAGTTCTGAATTCTGGAATTAAAGGGTCGAGAGCCAAACCAATTGCTTTTGTAGAAAGGATGTCATGGTCCACTCAATACTATTATTAGGTGGGGATAGATTTGTTCTTATCTTTAGTGGTAATAATATTTTTAGTGAGATTCCATTCTCTAATTTCATATGGCACTTTAATTAATGAAGCAATCAATCAGCTAATTTTTTATCTTTGCCAAATTTCTCATTTGTTAGGCTGGCTCCAGTCTACAAATTCTATGGAGCCATCAATTACTTAATGTATTGACACATGTATAAAGTGTAGTTTCGCTATGGAGTCATCGGATGGCTCGACTTATGGAGTCATCCACATTTATTCACCAATAGTGTATTGACTATTGACACATGCCTTGCAATAAATACAATTTGGACATGTGTCAATACATTAAGTGATGGATGACTCCATAGGAAAACCATCTGATGGTTCTATAGAATTTTTTTTATCTAAAGTCTATGTATTGTAGGACACGTGTCAATACACTATTTGTGAATAAGTGTGGATGACTCCATAAATCATGTCATCCTATAACTCCGTATCAAGAGTGATAACATAGTATAACAAATTGTTGATTGTAGTGAAAATACATAGCCTATACTTCACACTAGAAGATCAATTTAAGTTTTAATTTGTAAGGAATTGTTTTTTTTTTTTTTTTTCCAAACGATAGATATGCTCATTCAACCAAAAAAATAGAGTACAACGAGTACAATAAGCCCTCGAGCCGGGGAATGGGAGCACCACAATATGTGGGCTAGAGAACCAACAACCAACAACAACCATAACCAGAAAAAAGAAGTGGTAGCAGTTATAACGATCGAACCTACACCCCAATCTAAGAACAACAAAAAGGAACAAGGAAAGACTAGAATGCCAAACTAACTAACATAAAAAAACTAAAATAGAAAGCAAAAGGAACTTGCAGCCTGTTACTCTCCCAAGGATAAAAAAGCTTGCCATTGTTGGGTTGCTATTTTCACCAAGGAGTGTGCAGGCCTTCTAGTGGTCTCAAACACCCACAAATTTCTAGACTTCCATAGCCACCAAAGAATGTAAGTCGATAGTTGAATGCGGGCTTCAGAAGTCTCTGGTTTGTCTATCTGACATATACTCCACCACCATGATTTAAAAGTCTCTTTACCAGTGGGTCCATTCCAGATCAATGGAGCCATCTTCCACACCATATGAGCATACTTACAATGAAACATCACATGCTATATTGTTTCTTATTCTTCTCCACACTGCATACAAATAGGGTCTCTGCAAATGCCTCTACTGATCAGATTAGTGTCCATAGTAAGGGTGCCAGTGTAACATTTCCAAATGAAGTGTTTAACTTTGGCCATAACTTTTAATTTCCAACTTTTGTTTCTAACTTTTGATCCAAAATGGGACTGCTGCTACTCTGAGGTTGATCCCTGAGAAAGAATTTCTGAGTTATAAAATGGCTATAAGTGGATTGGACTGTGAAAATTCCTTTCTTATGCAGCTTCCATCCCCATTCATCTGACTGATTAGGATCAATAGAGTTTATAGCAAGAACAGCTTGACTAAACTGATCTGAGAATGTTTGTCTCACATTTCTCTCATCCCATCCAGTGCCCTATGTGTTCATAAGGTCTCTAACTGTCTCAATGCCCCTAATTCTTCCTGGTAAAAGTTCCACTTCCTTGCCAATGAAGTTGGGGATCCAGTTTTGTTCCCAGACCTTAATGTTCTTACCATCTCTCACCACATTTTGCATCCAGTGCTTATAGGATTTGAGGACATTAAGCCAATTCCCCCAGAGCCATGAAGCATTTTGTCTTTTCTGAGCTTCCAGCAGAGAGGACTTAGGGTAGTATTTAGCTTTCAGTACTCTGCTAACCAATCTATCTGGCTCACTAATCAATTTCCAGAGTTGCTTAGCAGTTAGAGCCTTGTTAAATAATTGAATATCTTGAAATCTAAGCCCTCCAAATTGCTTAGCCAGAGTGAGCTTCTCCCAGTCCACCTAATGTAATCCTCTTTGAAGATCAGCATTCTTACTCCACCAAAATGTAGCACATAGTTTAGCTATTCCAGAACATAAGCCTTTTGGAAGAACAAAGCAATACATTGCAAAAACCGATAGAGCATTAAGAACTGCTCTTATCAGAATTTCCTTCCCTGCTGGGGAAAGCCATTTATTCTTCCAACTGATAATTCTCTTCTTAACCGCTGAGACAATGTATTCAAAGGACTCCTTTTTAGATTTTCTAATACCTAGGGGTAAACCCAGGTATCTTGTGGAGGTGTGAGATTGAATACCTGGCAAAAGAGAACAACACAGAGTTTGCAGGGCCAAAGGAGTGTTCTTGCTAAAGAAAATAGTGGACTTGCTCATGTTGACTCTCTTGCTAGTGAACTGCTGAAAATCCTGCAAAATTTTCTTCAGAACTCTGACTTGATGCTCATCTACTTTACAGAAGATAAGAGTGTCATCCGCAAACATTAAATGGGTGAGGATAGGCCCTTCTCTAGAAATCCTCAATCCTTTGAATCTACCTTTCTCCACTTCCCCATTAATCTTAGCAGACAAAAGCTCTGAAATAATAAGAAACAGATAGGGGGATAGAGGATCCCCCTGTCTAATACCTCTGGAAGCAAAAATGAAGCCACAACATTTGCCATTTAAGTTAAAAGAGAATGAAGGAAAGGAGATGCATGCCATTATCCATTTAACAAACTGTCTGTGGAACCCCATTCTCAGCATAGTCAACTGAAGAGCTTTCCACTCCACAAAATCAAATGCTTTAGCAATATCTAATTTTAATGCCATGAAGATATTACTTCCACTCCTGTGTCTATTCAAAAAATGAAACACCTCATGGCCAATCACTGCATTGTCTAGCAGCTGTCTACCAGGCAGGAAGGCATTTTGATTTTCAGAGATGCAAACAGATAGACATTGCCTTAATCTTAGAGCAAGGATTTTTTATATCACTTTATAAAATACAGGACATAAGCTGATGGGCCGAAACTGAGAAATGGAAACATGGTTTAAGCATTTTGGAACTAAGGTTATTAATGTGTGTTTCCAATACTTTAACATCTGCCCAGATTGGAAGAAACTCATGACAGCTGCACATATATTCTTGTTTATGATAGGCCAAAAGTGTTGATAGAACAAACCTGTCATACCATCCTCTTCTGGAGCCTTCAAGGGCTGATGCTAAACACTGCTTTTCTGATATCATCTTCTTCCACAAGGGCTACAAGAATGTTGTTGAGATCCTCTGAATTAGATGTAGGAATAAGTGGAAGCAATTCATGGCCACATCTTGCACCCTGTGAAGTGTAAAGATTTTCAAAGTAGGCATTAATGGTGTCTTCAATCTCTTTTGGATTCTCTGTAAGCACATCATCTGCATTCAATAGCCTCTCTATAGAATTCATTTTTCTTCTTTGGGCTGCATATGCATAAAAAAATTTAGAATTGCGGTCCCCTTCCTTAAGCCACAAGACCCTTGCCTTTTTCTGCCAGAAAAGCTCCTCAGAGCAATGAGCAGCATCTAGTTCTTTCTGCAACTGATCCCACACACATCCCAATTCCGGTCCCCTCCTTCCTTCCTCATTTCTCTAAAGTCAGAGTCAGTTTTTTGATTTTATCTCCCTCAGCTGCTCTAAAGTATCTACTCCATGTTAGCAGAGCTTGCCTTGCCTTCTTGATCTTTTCTTTGAATGAGAACATTGGAGTGCCTTCTGATGGAATTTCCCAAGCCTCTTAACAACCTGATTAACATCTGGCTTTGAGAGCCATCGTTTATCAAATTGAAAACGCCTTTTGAATGTAGTCTTAGAGTTCCCAGAGTCTATTACTAACATACAGTGGTCTGATGCACTCCTATGCCAGCTAAGAACTTGAGTTTGGGGGTAATGTATTAGCCATTGCATAGAAGTAAATGCTCTGTCGAAAATGAACCGCAATGAAAAAAGAGGTGCTATAGATTTGAATAATATTAACATCAATATCCCACATCAACGACAGACCACCCTTAGAGCCACCAGTTTCTACAAAATGGTATCTACTCAAAAAACCCAACGACAGACAATTTTATTAGTAATTTTTTTTTTTTGATTTTTTTTTTGTTTCAGACAGAAAGATAAAAGAAGGGTGATGGAGCCTTATGCTTTCCTTGATCTGGGGAACTGTAGAGGGCCCTAGGGGTGTTCACGGTCCGGATTAGTCCGGTTTTAGCCCAAACCATGACCAAATCGAACCTAACGGTTAATTTTTTTTCTTGTCCATAACCGGACCGGTTTTATTTTTTACCCGGCCACAATCCGAACCGCATTGGACGGTCCGGTTTGGCGGTTAACCGGTTAAATTCAAAATCCTTGTTTTGGGCCTTCAATTTTTATTTTTGTCATTTTGGGCTTAATTTTTA